AACAATTTTGCAAATGTTTTTGATTTAAAATAGAATAACTTTGTTTTTAATGAAAATAATAAGCTACTAGACCTAGTGTACTTTAATAATTCCTGTTTCGTTGAAAAATCCGTAGATCCGTTGATAAAGGAAGATTGTCATCATGCAGCTTTGGACATTACATTAAAATCAGTAGAAAAACAGCTGAATAAGAATAATAATTTAGAGTCTCCTTCATAAATTGCTATAACTTTTTTAAGGCGAATTTTCCGATGTTGTATGACATGATTTTCAAAATTGACTGGACTTCTCTGGAAAGTCTTTATGAAGTTAATTATGCCTGTACATACTTTTATGGGAAATTATACAATGTATTAGATAAATGTGTACATAGGTATAAAACTGAGGTGGACAACTATCGTCCTATCTCTATCATCTGTAACTTTAGTAAAGTGTTTGAAATGTTGCTGGAACGCACAGTTTACCAACACGCCCGCAACTTATTATCAGATCGACAACATGGTTTTGTAAAAGGTCATTCAACAGTTACAAATCTCTCCATAATTACGAAGTATATTTCAGAAAACATTGACAACCGAACTCAGACAGATGTTATTTATACGGATATGACAAAGGCATTTGATCAGCGATATTTTGGTAAAAAAAACTAGCCTCATTTGGACTTTCAAACAATCTTATTCGGCTTCTTATATCATATCTCACCAACAGAATACAATAAGTTTAATTAAATTTAAGTCTGATCAGTATTCTGTTACCTCCGCTGTTCTTCAGGGATCAAATATAGACCCGTTGCTGTTTAACATTTTCGTGAAAGACATCGTGGATGTAGTTGATGTTGATTCTTTAATTTACATCGACGACTTTATATTTTACGTTATGTAATTGTTATAATTAAGAACTTCACGAATTGTGAAAGGCTATCTGAAAATTTTCTGAGAGTTATCGAATGGTGTCGGGAAAATAACCTAAATTTGAATCCCTCGAAGTGTACTGTCATATTATTCACTAAGCTCTGGTCCAATTGCTTACAATTACCGTATAGGCAACACTCTATTATGCATATCGAATAACTTTGTGGATTTGGACTTTACTTTTGATTCAGCACTATCCTTCAATGACCACATTGACGGTATATTAACTGCAGCAATCCGCATGTACGGATTCATAATTCGGAAATGTCGGGATTTTAAGAATGCAAGTACATTAAAGTATATTTATTATGCGTTTATCCGCTGAAAGCTTGAATATGCATAGGTTATATGGAGTTCCAGTTACCAGGTTAGAGACCAAGACCAAGAAGACCAAGTGTATCCTCCAATTGGCACCCTAAATAACGAACTGTTAGTAAGACATAGTTTTTCGAGTCTTGAAGCAAGGCGCAAGTATTAATAGTTACACTGCACAAAGTTATAACCAACAAAATAAATTGTAAAGACCTGCTGCATTATGTTAAGTTTTAATAATTACTATTTTTACAACATCTACTTTGTACTTGTCATTAATTGTTTTTTTGAAAAAGTACTTTGTAATTGTAATTATTTTTAAAGTACATGTAATTACCCATCTCTGATTAATAATAAGTATAATAAAAAGCAGGATTAAAGCAAAAAACAAACACTATAAACATTTTTGCTAAAAGTCGTATTTTCATTAGAAAATATCATATTACTAAAGTGGAAATCTAGTTAAATATAGTTAATATTAAAATATTGCGGGCATAAAATATGACTAATTAATCTTTATGCAGAAGCTGAATGCATTAAACTAGATTAGGTCCGTTTTATAACACTTATAAAACTACCTTATTAAGCAGAAATTCTAATAAAATGTAAATGTAAAGCAAACTACACAGCAAAAATTTGTTCTTTACTTTTTCCATGAAAAACTTTCAACACATTAAAAAAAAACATTTTTTTAATAAAAAATGTAGCAAATACATATATTATAGAAAATGAAAAAGTAAAAAAAAGATCTTTTAAATTTCACATAGATATGTGTTTTTTACTGCGACCGGTTTCGAAGTGTATCACTTCATCTTCTGACATGCCTATTGGATAAGAGAAAAGGAAATTGGTGAATTTCTATTGGTAGCAATGATATAATTTAGGAAATATTAACAATACTAATCCACTAATATTGTTAGTGGATTAGTATTGTCAATATTTCTTATAAATAATTGACTTATTGTTTCACATTGCTATATACCTACCAATAGAAATTCAGCAACCGCAGTAAAAAAAAATATATATATCTTTGTGAGATTTAAAAAGATCTTTTTTCTTTTTTACCTTTTCATCTAACTAACTCACACACGGCTACTCCAAGTCTGAATATTACAGAAAATATACATAGAATATACAGAAAATATAAAAAATACAGAAAATATAAAAAATATAGAAAATACAGAAAATATAGAAAATATTAAAAATTAAAAAATATGGAAAATATGGAAACTATTTATGGAAAATATAGAAAATATATCAAATAATGAAAATAATATGGAAAATATAGAAAGTAATATAGAAAATATACTGTATTTAATTTTTTATGCAAATGTTTGTTTATATGTAAATATTTGGTTATTTTAATATATACAGTGTGGAAACCACTTTTAGAACTCAACTTTTAAACTAAATTGTACTTTCTCTGAACGAAAATATAAACACGGGATAAGTTTAGCACTGTCGGTAGTTTTTTAAATAAGTAAAAGTAAAATGGCTTTAATTAGAGGATAGAAAAAGCAGAGCAAGAAAATCGATTTATAAGTTAGAAAAAACTTGATAAAATTTATCAAGTATTGAATATAAGGAATATCAAAATGGCGCGTACGTCCCCTAGAGCTCCTATCTGCATAGAAAGAATCTCATTTTAGATATGAAACTAAAAATTTCATTATTAGAGCCGAACTGAATTCCCGAGTCGATTTGATCTCGTTTTTACTGCAGACGATGCAGCTATTCTGACAAGACGATGTTGATAGATTATCTTTACGAGGATGGTATGGATAATATTATCTATTTTTTGTTTTTGGATTGATTCTTATTAATTTATCAAATATAATACAAGTTGTATCGGTTGACCAAAATTAAATATCATTTGACAACACACTAACTCATAGTTATAAATTATATCACGAATTAATAAAATACGACAGCTCAATAATTCAGTTACAGTACAAAAGCAATGACTTAGTAGGAAAATAGAAAAGAGGTCCTTTATTTCTTACAAAGTTATTCATAGGCTGATTTTGAAGTAGTTACTTCATTTTCAGGCTCACCTAAGTGGATAATTTTTGTTAAAACATAAATAATAATATGCTGAAACATTATATCTGATCGTTACATAATTATAAAACCAAAGTACCTTTTCATTTAACTAACTCACTCATGGCTAGGGTTGCCACCTGTCCTTTTTTGAAAAGGACAGTCATTTTTTGACTTTTTAAAACTTAAAATGTCCTTTTTACGGCAAAATGTTTATCTCGACTACCTTTTTTTTTAAAGTTCACTAGAAAGATGAGAACTTTTTGTATACCAGAGCCCCTGTCAGCATCGTAGTCTTTTTTTGACTTTTCAAAAAGTTGGCAACCTTCCTCATGGCTATCCCAAGTTTAAATATTATAAATCTGCTTGAATATAATAAACAACAGTATAGAAAATATTTTTTAAAAACTTAGTTTATTTAAAATGTCAAGAGACCGTTTATTGTTCGATTACATTAGCCTCCTGTATTTGTTACTTTGGCTTTTTGAATCGAAGACATCTGTGGTACTGTATGTGGGAATGTATTGCTAAACTATGGACGCTTTTCTACTCTCAGACAATCAATTATTGTAAAATACATTTTATTTTGTGTATTGTGGAATATTTTACGGTTCTTTTATTTCAACTTCGCGCGTTACAGTTCCCTCATATCTACACGCAAATGTTAAAATTATGAATAAATGCTGATTTTGTTTAGTCTCGGAAGTAATTTTGTAGTATTTAGGATCCACACTTGAGTTGTAATTTGTATACCTACTAAACTACCATTGTCCCGCATGTCTTTCAGTTTGTAATGTAAATTTTCCTCTAAAGAAAACGCAAAAATGACGATCTAACCGAATCTTAGAGCATTTCATTACCAGAAACATACCAAAATGTGACAAGTAGGTCGTTCGTATTCCCCCGTTCAATAATTCATAAGCCGTTAAGCATACGAAAGTTGCGGCCAATATGTATAACGGCAAACGGTATGGAATTCCACACTAAACGATTCCTGCAGGATTATCCGAGGAGTTAGTTTCGCTGCGCTCTGGAATTACTTATGTATTTCGTCTATTATCTGTTTGGAAGATTGCGCAAGTTTGATGCCTCGTCGGTTTTGAAGGTTTTCCGATGTTTAAAACCGGAATAAGACGGTCTGAAATACGGCGAGAATGTTTGGCTATGCATTTCGAAAAAGGATCAGGAGTTTATTACAGTCGAAGGACTTCAGCTGTAGCGGAAACCATTTCCGGAAAAAATACTTTATAATTTATTTTCTTGGCTATCTTGAAAATGTAAATCAATCAAAAAGAAGAAGACAGTAATCTAATAGCAACTGGCACATTACCAGTTACAGATCAAGAAAATCTAAATTTCTTGGCATGTATACATACCTCTGAATTCATAAATTCACAAAACAGTAAACGGAAAATTGAAAGGATCGTATTTTTGTTTCAAATTGGCAGGATCCAGACTCCATTTGGCGAAAGACCGTAGAATTAATTTCGCTTGGACTCTAAATCACTTTGTTTGGCGAATTGAAATGTCGACTGTGGGAAAAGTCGTAAATAACTTTCAAACAGAATATAATTCGGTCCAAATTTTTGTTCGTTCATTATTCTCGATAACAATGATAACAACTATAGGAAGATTTATGGAAAAATCCTAATTTAAGACCACTTGGTTTTTATAAGGACATTTATGGACCAATTTTATTAGAAAATAATTAATAAATAAAGTTGGATGTTTTTTTACCTGCAATTGGATAGCCAGGAGTATTGTTGCTCAGCAACGTGGTGGGGTATCGTGAAGCACGGCCTGAAGATGCCTCTTCGCGTACCTCCACCTCCATGTCGTAAAAGCCACTGTGGCCCTGTTCCCACTCTGTAACAAACAAAACAATATACTCATTATTTACAAATTATTATTTACAAATATTGATAATATTTTCTAAACTAAATTAAATTTCAAAAATTCCAAATTGCATCTTCGAGACTATGAAATTTATACCCAAACCGATAAAGTGAAAACAGAGAGATGAATAGGAAAGAAAAAGACACTGTAACGTGTTATTTACGTCTATAAAATATTTTTAACAGAGTCTTAACAGAAATGTGTAGGTGCTGTTAGCATTCAGTGCTTGCGTTCATTATCCAAGAACCAATAATCATAATCACTGCTCAAGTAACAATTTAACCTTTTATAAAACCTGAAAGAATGTTTAAAAAACCAAATTTATGAAACCGAAGATGCCCGAAACATTCTTCCAACAGAAATAAACACAAATGGCGCACTATTACAGAACTGTTTGGTTCATTTATAAATTGTATGAGGCTTGCTGAATGCAGTTACCGAATAGTTATTTACACTTTAGACTTTTTTAAAACTTTCATAACTGTTTTATAAGTTTTAAATGTTGGGGTTATGTTGCATATCAAAATCAATAATATTTCTGGGCTGGTATTTCTAAAGGGGTCGCAACATAGACCCAGGTTATAGATGAGGGGGTAACTGAGGCTAGGAGGGAAATAGTAGTCAGCCTAGGGAAAATAGTGGTCAGCTTAAGTTGGCAAAACTTTTCTGATGTTCATTTGGCGAAATCTACGGTTATCCCAGTAAACCACAAATAGTCGGCATTCGCTCGGCCTGACATCGGCATGTACGGGAAGCCGAGTACTCGGATTGTCGAATACTATAAAATGCATATGTATTTCTTTACGGTTAATATTGAAGTAGAAGCCCAAAAGTTTTGATCAAAAATATATTTTTAAATTTAATATTCACTAGATATGCCAATTTGGGTAATTTTCTATTTGAAGCCATACATGTTTCCTATTATAGTTTTCATAAGTTTATAATTTAATATTCCCTTATGAAATTCAAGGAAAGATGGGATGAAACAAGAAACTGCAGAGTTGCCAGGGAGCTCTTAGGTTACTGACAACACTGCAGCAAACAAATACTTGACTATGACTAGACATAATCTGCGCCTAGTCACAGGCATTCTGACTGGTCATTGCCAAGTACGAAAGCATCTCCATATCATGGGACTGTCAGAATCCGCACTCTGCAGAGGGTGCGAACAAGAAGATCAGACCATCGAACATATCCTTTACGATTGCTCGACGCTCTCATTTATTAGAAGATTTGTGTTCGGCGAGTATCGGCTAACACCGGCCGATATAAGAGAAGCACCTCTTGGCGACGTTATCAACTACATTAAATGGCTTCTCTTCATAGCGAATAAATCTTTCGCCTTTTACTAAAGATTTCCGTGGAGAGGAGCAACACAAATGAGTCTATAAAAAAAAAAATCTGTAGGTTGGCTCACGAGCTAGGAGGTGCCTATCTTCTCAGGAGGATTCACAATGGGCCTAATGAGGCCTAAGTGCCGTGGGGTATCCCACCCTCCACACATTACAGATACAGCCAGATATAGACATAATGTATGACCCACAATAGAGTCGTTTTTGGATGCTTTACTGTTAATTATTTAGCACATAAAATACGAAATTGTTAAGCACCTCGAGCATTGTATAAAGAACTATAGTGCTATAATCGCAATGTAAAAGTCACCTGTCACCTAACAAAACATAAATAAAAATTATCAGTTTTCTCCTTGAGGGTTTGGTGATAAATTGCCTTATTTCGTAGTGAGAATTTGGGAATATGTTTCTAAATTTTCAAAAGTTCATATCAAAACTGACTGATTTCTTAAGAGATTAAATATCATACATTTATCTTTTTAATTAATTTTATCTTTATACTAACGAATTATTTAAAAAAGTGAATTGCCGAATACATTTCTTCTCATCTTGCTGCTATTAAATAATTCGATTCTAAAACAAACGGTTTTCCGTTTTCCGGTGATAAAGGAAAGAAAATTTTCCCTTTGACGGAGCACAATGTGTAAGCGTATTATATTTCCTCGTGAGCTTTGTCTACCATACCTTCCATTTTCCGAACATTATAGTCCAAGCGATACACTGAATGATTTCCACAAATAATGCGTTTTCGTTTTGTAGTAGTTTTTTTCACCTAATATACAAATAAATTTCTAAAATCATTTAAAATTACAGTAGGGCCGAACAAAATTAGACGTATTTCCATTTCTATCTATCCCAATGTATGTTTCTATATAAGCGTGCTCTTTTTAACACATTTTAATTATATGGAACCTGTTGCAGAGCACTGCAAAACCTACCTTTTGATACGCCTATGTCGAAAATACTAGGGAAACGAAACAAAAAAAATATAATTTGGAAATCCGTTAATCACTCAAAATAGACAATCCAATAATTATTCTGTTCTTCATGTTTGACCATTACAGAAAGTAAACTTGAAGCGTTGTTTTATTCCATCTGGGTATAAGATACAGTCCACTACGAAAGGCAAATATAAAGCATCGACTCCAACAGGATCATTATATAATTATTATTTTATACCTACACTACTAAGATTAACTTATGTATAATTTATGATTAGATAACAAAAGAAGGTGTATGAGGTCTTTTTAATAGAATAGGCAATTTTGCAAATACATTTAGATCGTTTTTAATAACATTGTATAAAATATTTATCTAATTCTTTATCAATTTATTATTTATTTAAGAAAATAAACAAGGTAAAAAATCATAATCAAATTTCGAGTGGAAATGAGCTACATATTGTTACTACTATTTTTAACCATCCAATTTTCCTTGTCCATTTATTTTTATCGATGAAAAAGGTTATTTCCTATTGGAAATTACGGTTTGAGACTTTTCCAATATGAAAAGCTGCATATCGCGTTGCATTTTTAAACAGTTTTTATTTATGATACAACCGTTTCTTTCAAACGTAATTATTATACCTTTAAAAATCGATAAAATATTCACAAAATTAAGTTCGGAGTTTTACCAATACATTAAAATATATTATTAAGTAATAATATACCGCAAACATTTGGAACAAAATTGAATATTAGTTATTCCAAACAAAATAGCTGTCGGTAAGAAGGGTTAGTATATTTAAGGGATTGCGACATACGATGTATTCTACCTACAACATGAATACCGTTTTAAATTTAATATTTTATGTCGAACGCAATGAAAATATTATTAAAAAAAAGCTTATACATTTTTCATAAATTGGCAGGCTTGGTGACTACTATTTCGATAAAAATAACGTCCAAGGTGGAAGGCTATGTTGCGAGACCCTTAGATATACGCGCCCTTTCCACCAGCAGCTATTGTTTGATAGGTAATTGTAATGCTTATTCAGATAACTTACTGCGTTACTAAAAGAATTCAAATCATTCTTACACGCCCCGACTAATTTCTTTCGCCTTTACGTTCGTCTTATATTAGTCATCAAGCTACCATTTTCCAAGTCGAAACCGAGACCGACTTCAAAACGCGACGCAACACCGAGGGAGACCAAAAACGGTCTCTTCACGTCTGAACACACATCATCATATAAATATATGAAACACATTTCGGTAGACGAGACCGACAACATCAGATTTAGTATGGCAATATTTGCCGCCTTACTGCTGTTTCGGTCTCCGGTCGCTTGTCGCGCGTTCCCAAAAAGTACAATTTCGGTAGGCGCGACAGGCGACCGCCGGCGCGACAGGCGACCGCCGACGCGACAGGCGACCGCCGACGCGACAGACGACCGCCGCCGCGACCGAGAATTGTCTCTTCACATCTAAAATACATGCAATTAGATTAAACACTTTTCGCACGGCGCGACACGAGAAGTGTCGTCAAGACGACACTTCTGAATTTGTCTCGGGGCCAAGCGTTTGCTGCATGTCGCACTCGAGTTCACTGTATTCAGGCATCGCTTCTATTTGGAGATGATTATAGGTTGGAAATTTCTTTCGATCTAGGCAGTGTTGCCAGATTTTGGAACAGTATGGGTGAAAAAAAAAACCGTAGATCTGAACAGTAGATTTTAATACAGGGGGAAATAATTATAATTTGCAGTGTAGTAAATAAAAAAACAAGTATATAAGAAACGAAAAATAAACTTTTTTTCTACCCAAATTAGAAAGTAAACAAAGAATAAAAACAAACAACATTTTAAATATATACTTAACGTACGGAAACAAAAAAAAAATGAAAAATAAACCTACTTCTTTTAGATCAGTCTAAATCAGGTAATTCAAAATCGTAGTGTTTGGCATAAACATGTTCTTTTTATGATGCCCTATTAATTCTTTGTTTCATTTTAAATAAAACAATGATTATCTTGATGTTTTTTTTAAGGAGCCAACCTACAGTAGTGGATGCCTTATTACGCTGCTTTTACTGCAGAAAATTTACTAGAGAAAATAGTCTTTAACCATTTGCTGAAGAATGAGGCAAACTAAAGACAAAAACAGTGGATCTCCGTAAAAGCAGTAGGTCTGACAAAGCTGGTCGTTCCCTCGAATGGTTATTCTGTAAGTGTCTCGCGACCCGTCTTCAAGCTTCCGAAATGTACGGAGCGTAACATTTATGCATCTATCGTCCTTAGGGTCGCCTCGGTGGTTTCCTGTCTCCTGACGCGCCTACCGAAATGGTACTTTTACTGTTTTTCGAAACGCCAACACTTTTAGATTTAATCAATATACTTATGGCCCAAAATAAACAGTACTGACTTGACAATTCTTTTATTTAAAACCTCCTCCTTGAATGTTTTGAGAGCTGCTTCTTTGGTCATAATAAGGTCTGGAAAGGTGAGATCTGGTGTAGTCGTTGACAAATTATACGCTACTACGTAAGTACGGTTTATTATGAGCCATACTGTATTTTCCATTTAACTGCAAATCTAAATTCGTTTTATTAAAATGATCGTTCTCTACAAAGTCCGAAGTTTTTTTACTTTATTTTTCTTAACTAGAGAACTTTTTCATT